ACACGAATGTTTCTACTGCTCAGCATAGTATTTATGAGTCGGGCGGTTGTTTTGCAGGGGATTATTTTAAGGAGCTTATAGATGAGGCCATCTTTCCAAACCGTGTCATAGGCAGCCGATAAATCGATGAATGCCACAGACGTCTTCAGTTTTCTTTGGTAACCTGCTTCTATGTAGGTAGTTATAGAGAGCACTTGGTCAGTGGTGCTTCGTTGAGGCCTGAATCCTGCTTGTTCAATTGGTATTTTTTGAAGTAGCTTTGGGCCGATTCTGTTCAGGACCAGTCTTTCGAGGAGCTTGTAAGCTGAACTGAGTAAAGCGATGGGGCGGTAACTCGCTGGGTTATCTGTTGGTTTTCCAGGTTTCAGGATGGCTATGATTTTTGTTTGTTTAAAGAGGTTTGGTAGGTTACCTGTTTTGAGTATATCTGTATAGAATTTAGATAACCAGGTTTTTGCAGATTTCCCACAATGGATTAGGAATTCGGGAGGTATACCGTCTGTACCAGGAGCTTTGTTGGGTTTAATGTCTTTGATGGCGTTTGAGACTTCTTCTGGAGTGAACGGTGCGGAGTACTCTGTATCTGATGGACAGGCAGCTTTTAGATGTTTAAGCTCCCTTTTTATAGTAGTGGTAAACTTTTTATCACATGCTCCTCTGGAGGTGGCAACTATATGTGATGCAATTTTATTAGGGTTGAAGTCGTGGATTTGTCGTGTTGCCAGTTTGTCACTTCCGAGTTTTCTTAGGAGCGACCACGCTTTACGGCTAGACTTTTTGAAATCTAACGATTCGACTTCATTTGTCCATTTGTTCCTTCTTGCTACATCAAGGCTCAGGAGAAGTTCGTCCGCAAGGTCACTTTCACCGGTTTCAAGATATTCTTCGTAGAGGTTTTAGCTTTCCTCACTCCATCCTGGTATGTATTGCTTACGATGGCCCCTGGGAATGTGTTTCTTTGCTGTAGCAATTATTGCCCCTCTAAACCTTTCATAATTTTTGTATGTTGGTGGAATCCATCGTAAGATTTTATCGAGTTCATTGGTAAAGGCGGGCCAGTTACCTTTGTTAAAGTTCCAGCGTGGTCGTGGAATGGTTGTAACTAGTGGGATTTGGATACCAATCTTAATAATGATCGGCCTGTGCTGGCTATGCGGGAAGTCATGAAGTACTCTTCTCTTGGTTGGTAAGGGTAGCTTTTCTGGTTTTTGCTCACCAAACATAAATCTGGATTGTACTCTTGTTTCCATGCCGCCGATTTAAAAGTGCCCCGGTCTTTGGCATCGAAGACGTGATGCAGGTGGTTACTCTCTGCCCAGTCTAACAGTGTCTCCCCGTTTTCATCGTTGTTTCTGTATTTCCATTCTTGATGATGGCTGTTAAAATCACCTAAATAGATGGCTGGATGGGGCCTTATGTCTATGACGTGGCTTGGCCATGTAATACTTGGGGGTTTATAAACATTTGTTACTTCGATTTCACCTATTTTGGTAACGGTCAAATGTATATTATCTTGCGTGGTGGAAGATACGAAGTGAGCGTTTTCTACGGAGTTTTTTACGTAGTTGGCGGTACCATAAGCATGGTGATAGGTTGCTCCCAGAAGATCATAGCCTGGAATTTTGCCTCTACTTGCGAGTTGTTGTTCGTTTGCAGCATGGGTTTCCTGTATAACTACCAAGTCGATGTCGTTAGAAAGTAGTATGTTTGACAGCAGTTCGCTTTTGGATCGGCTAATGCCTTCAATATTTATCTGACAAATCCGGACAATGGGTCCAAGAGTTCTAGTCATTTGGTTCTCATAAGAACCGTTTCCTGGTTGGGCCTTCATGTTTGCAGTTGTGTATTGGCCAGGAGATCGTTGGATAGTTTGGCCGCCTGTTCGTTCTAGCTCATTTAGTGTTAACCAGAGGGCACGTGCAGAATTCTTCTGCGGACGCGAGCTAGTTTACCCTCATGACTCTGACACTAAGGATGATATGGCTCGATCATAAACTTTATTTGTCACGTTTTTTTGCGAATACTTTTGCCAATCTCCGAAGAAGTTACTAATGTTACATTTTAGATCTCTTTTGAGCTACAACAAATGCAGGTTTATTATTTAGTTGGAGTCTTGTTTCACCCATGTTAACTAAAATCCCGGGCTTCTCCATCAACTCTTGTTCTAGAATAACCAGCTCTAACAGATTAAAGTAATCGCTTACATCCTTTTTGTTCGTGCCTCGACTTCTTGCTAAGGATACGCCTTCCGATTTTCTTATACTCAAGTCAGGGTTTCTTCTTAAGAATGATTGTAACTAGTCAAAATCTGTGAGTTTTTTCTTTATTGAAAGTAGTTTTAATATGTAATTCTTCGGCTAATCTGAATGTCATTTCTTTAACTTCAGCTGTTGTATGTGCAAAACCAGCTTTCTGCAACTTTAGGATATGCTTCTTTATTTTATTTTCATGTTCTTCGCCGAGAACGCTACTTGCTCCTAATGCACTTTTTTAAAATTGTTACTTTTCATTCTTCTTCTTAATATAGGTGCTGGCACTTCAAAATTCCTGGCGACAATATTGACCCCCATTTGTCCACTTCTTACGGCATGGCCTCCAGATTTCGATTCGCCTTATCTACCGTCTTTTGGATGTGTACTCCGAACCTTACTCCTTCTGACAACCAGACTCCTAGATATTTAATCGATTTAACCAGTGCAACTTCCATACTGTCCACTATAAAACGAAGAGAGGATTTTTCCCGGCTCCCTTTGAGAACTAACACATTAGTTTTCTGAGGGTCATCATATTTTTTAGGGTCTCAAAATTGGGACAAAAGACAAATCTTTGATAACTGGACTAAAGGAAAAAATATATTTTTATATTTATGTATGCATTATAAAATACTTACGTTTTAAATTCATATTTAAAATAAATAGTAATTTTAAGCCGACGAGATTTTTATAGATTAGTTCAAGTTAAATTAATTTATGTTAGGATGTGTTGATTTACTTTTATACTGTAATCAATAATTTGATAATCTCTTGATTAGCTACTTTTTGTATAAAAGTCATCAAACCTTAAATAGAAATGGTTCTTTTTGATTTACCCACGCTAGTGGTTAGGTGCAAGTCCGATGTGGGACGCATTGACCTACTTTTAGTCAACAACTTACGACTGAAGAATAGTAACACCTAATACACACTTATATTTTGTACTTTTTATGATGAGATAAAAAACTATTGTTTATGTTTTTGACTAATGGAATAGTAAAAGTAGAAGTTTTAATTTAAATGTGATACACTTTTTTTTAATTAAAAGAACAAAACACATATAAATAAACTCAAAATAAAATCAACAAATTGAAAGAATATAAACAACACCTAAAAATTTAACGACGGAAAGCGTTAATATTTGAAAAAATTACTAACCAAGAATGGATATCCAGAAATCTTCAATAAATTTCAAGAAATTAAGAAATGTAAGGCAAAAAAACGAAATAAAGGTTGACTGTATTTTAGCAAAGGCCTAGGAACGTGTGAAGCTCTTTTTCACTTAATATACTGATACAAAGATGCCTGGACGTCAAGATATATACGCATGTTTTATTGACTATAATAAAGCATTCGATTAAGTACGACATAAACAATTAATGAATGTCCTGAAATCAAAGAAGACTATAACCACTTCAGGATCATATCAAATTTATACTATAAACAACAAGCAAAAGTGCGTGTTAACGAACAGCTGTCAGAAGAAATTGAAATTAGATGTGAACTAAGACAGGGATACGTATTGTCGCCAATTCTTTTTAATGCCTACTCCCAAAAGATCCTGAAAAACGCTCTTGAGGGTGAAACAGTTACATGGAGAAAAGGTACATGGAGTTCCCATTAACAATATTAGATATGCGGACGACACTATGATCTTAGCAGTAAGTATTGAAGATCTTTAGAGACTGGTGACCAGAATAGCGAAGTATGGAAAAGAGTATGGTCTAACAATGAATATCAAGACGACGAAAATTACAAGAATATCGAAAACTCCACAAATGATTACATTCAGGAGATCAAAATCAGAATAGAAAAGGCTAGAGCAAATTTCAACAAAATTAGAAGAGTCCTATGTACAAGGGATTTAAAATTGGAACTAAGACTTAAGTTGGCGAGGTGCTATGTTTTTTCGACATTATTTTCTGGAATGGAATCTTGGACCTTAAATGCGATTGATATCGCATTTACGCGATTATCTTTTTTTAGAGACTAGATATTTGTACAACAATACATGATAACAATAGAGAATTTCTCATAAACGATCAATGTTAATAGCCCAAACTTTTGTGGTCAGGAATAAGTATACAATAACCGAAGTAGTATTAGCTTTATTGTCTCTAGAAACTTGGAAACAAAGAAAAGATCTTATTTATATAAAATTTGGAAATACCAAGGTTATGTGATATCTTAATAGCATTGAGCATGTGTTTGACAAGTCACAGAATTTGATTGGTCAAAAGGGATGACGTGATATGTAGGATGTGTGTGTGTGTGTGTGTGTGTGTCTGACTGATAAAAAGGAGCAGGAGGGATTGAAGTAAAGGAAGTCATGTTTTGTTCGGAAAAAGGAAGATTCCTGTGATTTGAACGTCGGAAGAAGCAAGTTGTTTTTGTTCCATATTCTGCAGTAAAAGTTAGCAGAGTTCTTGTCAAATAATAATTGTAAAAGGTGTTTTGTGTCTGTGAAACGAGCTCCAAGGCTTGGTAGCAGTGGACAAAGGAAGTACATCCTGTAATACAGGTGTATAGTATATTTTAGACCAGTTTTTTTCTAGTTGTGTTTTTTAATCAGATTTCTGAATATTTCTTGCGATTTAATTTGACTTAAATTCTACGGAGTTATTGTATTTTTGTACATTTTGTGTTACATTTTGTGAAGTGATAGTAGTACAATTTTTTATTTTGGTTATATTAATTGTTGTAATATATTTGGTAGTGTTATATAAAAATAAATAAATCTTAACTTACAACCAAGTTCCATTCGCTTGTTGTCTTCTAGCTGCTCCTGCCAAATTAGTAGAGAAGATACCGATCAGGAAATAGAAGACAAACGATAATGCGGTCATTGCTGCACTACTTGTTTTACTCTTCGATTTCGACTTCTCCTTTATCTGCATAGTCCTGAAATAACAATTTATCATTATATTAACTTAAATTTAGTTTTCAAAATAAAAAAAAAACAGAGTCTAACAATTGGAATTTTTCACACGTGTAAATATAAAAAAAGATTCATAGAAATATTATGTTACGTTATCTAATATTAAGTTACAATATCTAATGGATCTATTTTGACAACAATATAAGCAATATTTTTAAATACTTTCTGCAAAAAAAACAATTTAATTTTCTCTAATCTCTAATCGGACCTTTTGGGTTAGGACAAAGAAACGAAAGAGGTGACAGACTAGAAATATTCGCACAAGATAACAAGCTAGTGGTTCTGAACACATTTTATAAACTACCACCGAGGAGGTTGTATACATGGAAGGCACCAGCAGATAAACCCCATAACGTAATTAGTAAGCAGATAGATTATATATTGGTAAATAGAAGATTCAGAAACAGTTTTAAATCTGTCAAAACATATCCAGGAGCGGACATTGAATCTGACCACATACCTTTAGTGGGAGTCATGGATGTGAGACTAACGACAATAAAGAAAAAGTCTACACCTAACTACGACATGACAGCCCTGCAAAATCCGGAAGTTAAAAAGCAAGTGGGGGAATATATTAACAACCAAGTTCAACAACTAAAAGAAGAAAATAACATCCAACCAGAAATAAATCAATTCGAAGAAATAATTAAGAAAACTAAACAAAATCTGCTAAAACCAATCAAAGAAACAAAGAAGAAATCTTGGATGACTCCAGAAATCCTTCACTTAATGGAACGCAGAAGGTAAATTAAAGGAAATAAAGATGAGTATAAAAAAATGCAGGCTTACATCAGAAGAGAAATAAGAGAAGCTAAAGAAAAAGAAGCTGTAGAGAAATGTAAAGAAATAGAAAGACTACAAACCAAGCATGACAATTTTAATGTACACAAAAAGGTAAAAAAAAATAACGGGTATTTTTAAAAAGCGAACACAAATGAAACTCATAGACACTAATGGAAAATTAATCATTGAGACCCAAGAGATGAAAGACAAATGGAGAATATATTTGGATACACTTTTTCGAGATCAAAGAACGGATTATAGGCATCCATTTTCAGAGAGGATGACGGGCCTGGACATACTTAAATCCGAGGTAGAAGAAGCAATAAAACGGATGAAAAGCAGGAAAGCTGTAGGGCCTGATAATATCGAAGCTGAATTTTTAAAACTCTTGGAGGAAGAAGGAATAAATTGGATCACGGCTGACTTCAATAAAATATACAATACAGGAATCATCCCTGATAAATGGCTAGAATCAGAATTCATAGCGATACCTAAAAAACAGGGGGCTAAAAAATGCGAAGAATGTCGAACAATCAGCCTAATGAGCCACATGTTGAAACTGTTTCTTAGAGTCATCCATGGAAAAATTTATAATAAATGCGAGGAACAAATATCGGACAGACAGTTCGGCTTCATTAACGCAGTGGGTACCAGAGAGGCACTTTTCGGAGTACAGGTACTGATTCAAAGATGCAGGGACGTTAACTGCGACGTGTACGCGTGCTTGATCGACTATGAAAAGGCATTTGACAGAGTTCAACATCAAAAGATGATAAACATTTTAAAAGAAGCAGACCTAGATGACAAAGACCTCAGAATAATTTCAGAACTCTACTGGAATTAGACCGCATACATGAAAATTAACGGAGAAGAAACAGATCACATAAAAATACTACGTGGAGTTAGATATATCCTATCGCCGTTGATATTTAGTATGTACTCAGAGAAAATTTTTAACGAGGCTCTTTACGGAATAGACGAAGGCATCCTTCTAAATGGTGAAAGAGTAAACAATGTTAGATATGCCGACGACACCATGGTGATAGCAGATAGTTTAGAGGGACTTCAGAGGCTAATGGACAGAATAAACGAGTACAGTCAACAGTATAAACTAAACATTAATACCCACAAAACGAAACAAATGATTATCAGCAAGGAGAATATAAACGGGGCTCATCTATACATTAATGGGACGCAGATAGAGCGAGTAAAACAGTATTGCTACCTGGGAACTATTATAAATGAACAGTGGAGCAATGTACAGGAAATAAAGTGCCGCATAGGAAAGGCAAGAACGGTCTTTAACAAAATGAGCGCCATCTTCAAAAGTCACAACATATCCCTAGATACAAAAATGAGACATTTGAGATGCTATGTTTTCTCTGTGTTTTTGTACGGGGCGGAGGCATGGACGCTTACAGACACCACTATTAAAAAACTTGAAGCATTTGAGATGTGGCTTTATAGAAAAATGCTGAGAATATCATGGACAGCAAAGATCACGAACAAGGAAGTTTTAGGAAAAATGAAGAAGGAACCAGAGATTGTGTTTACGATCAAACGCATAAAATTGCAATATCTGGGACACGTTATGAGAAATTAGCACCGTTACTCCCTGCTTCAGTCTGTATTGCAATGTAAAGTCAAAGGTAAGCGAGAACCCGGTAGAAGGAGAATATCATGGCTGCGGAATTTAAGAACATGGTTTAAGAAAATCTCAACGGAGCTGTTTCGAGCCGCAGCGAGCAAGGTTATGATTGCCAATATGATTTCCAACATTCGAAACGGATAGGAACCAGAAGAAGAAGAAGAAACTTTCACTTGTTTATTTTCATGTAAAAAGATTTTTAAAAGTAACGTATACTTGCGTCGATTGGCCAACCCTGTATACTGTTCCCAAATAATGCCATAATATATCTAATTTAAAAACCTTTCACTTATTTTTTGCTACAATTAATATTAGGAAGCTTTTCTCCAACAATTAAATACCGTATTAAACAGTTACAGTTACCATTTATTGTCTAAATGTGTTATTTCACTTCTGACTTTATGTTTAAATCTTAATCGGACATATTTGGGACGTGTTTCCGTTCAGTTACAATGCTTATTTATTAATTTAATTGTTGTTTTCTTATTAGTTAATTAATGAAGTCGTTTTAAATCCTGTTCGGCATTAACTTAAATGAAGGCATGTAATTAAATAACTGGCATACGTATTTACAGCTACGACCTGTTTGTTTAATGCAAAAATCTATTACGTGTATATTATTTATGGCGTATTTAGGAAGAGAAAAAGAGAAACCTTATGAGTTATTAAACATTATCTATGGGTAATTCTATCTATTAATGAAGTCCCTGAAAACTGGTAGTAATTTCTTAAACATAGAAAAGCTCATAGAGTCAATGATCTACTATAATGATGTCTAAACATGAACAAAAGTGTATGTTTCATTTTACATTCACAAATGCTTTGTTCTTCTGAGGTTTCGTTTTAAATCCCTAGAAATATTTTTTTTTTTATTTAAACAAAAATGACCCTGCATCAACTACTAAGAGTTATTAGCAGGGGGTACAAACACAAAATTACAAGTATTTAATTTCTTACAAGGTATATATGTATAACTTAAATATGTTCTATTAAACACTGTAAATTTTAATGTCTTTCAAATATTTAAGCACTTTGTTGAACTGGCAGCTTAATAGATCCTTTAGGTTGGTAGAGAGGTTATTTTTTCTTCTTTCTTGGGTGTATGTTTTGCATTCTAACAGAATATGTTTCACAGTGATTTGGATCTTGCAGTTGTGGCAGAAAGGGATGGCTTCTTTATTTATTAAGTGAATATGGGTTGGTATAGTATGTCCTAATCGTAGTCGAGTTATTATCACTTGTTCACAACGTTTGAGTGGGAGTGGTAAGGTGGTGCCGACAGTTTCTATAACATCTTTTAATTTGTTGGATGTGGAATTCCAGTTACACTGCCATAAGTTGGTAATATGTTTTTTGATGGAGGTTTTATGGTCGTTTCTTGTTATCATGTGTGACACAGGGATGTTTCATCTAGTGCAGCTTCATTCGCAAGTTGGTCCACTGCTTCATTTCCCTTGATTCCCACGTGTGATGGCACCCATAAAAAAGTTATTTCTATGTTTTTTGTTGATAGTAGTATGAGTTCATTTTTTATTAACATTATAATTTCATTTGATGGAAACAATTGCTGTAAAGCTTTTAGTGTACTTAGTGAGTCAGATATTATAATATAATAAGGTGCGGATTTTCTTCTGCAAACTTGCAGTGCCTCTAAAATAGCCATTGCTTCTCCAGTAAATATGCTACAACTCGGAGGGAGTCGTATTTTAAAGTGGTCTGCTCCATGTATGTAAGCCGCTGCTAGTCCTGATTGAGTTTTTGATGCATCAGTGTAGATATATTCAGAATTTGGATATAGGGATATTATTTCATGGTATGATTGATGTATTACTTTTGGGTTAGTGGATGTTTTGGGATAGCGAGTAAGGGATGTACTTACAATTGGTGGACTAGTTGACCAGGAGGGAAAGTTTTGGGTTGGATTTATGATGGCATTAAACTGCTCACAGTCGTAACCACTGAATTTGATTCTTTCATGAAAAGGGAGTATATTAATCGGTTTATTTTTGTAATTACTAATACATTTAGGTTTGAAAATATTTGAATGCATGGGATTTTGTTGATTTGATGATATACAAGTTGCATAATTTAGTGACAGTTGTTGCCTTCGTAAGTGTAAAGGTAGTTCGTTAGCTAATACTTGAAGGCTATTTGTTGGGATAGTTCTTAGAAATATTTATTTCGGAAAAATAGCAGATCTATAGATTGTCTCAAAGTGACTAGTCTAAAGGGTAAATGCACAACATCGATGCCATACTTCTTTGAAAACTTGTATTAAAATAAACATCACTTCTTACTACTTAGCCTAATCCATCTTTTGTGTTGAGGGTAGCATAAGTACTAATACCTACTAACGACCCTGCCTGGCTTCCTTCTGTTAGTGGTTCTCAAACATAAATAATATTTGCTACAACTACTTGGGTTAAATTAAAATAAAATAGAAATTAAGAAATGCCTTTTATTATGTCACATAAGCAGTTTGTTTTTAATTCTACAGTTTGTGCTAGCGATACAAATCATGTGTTTAT